GTTTTCTTGTTTCCCATGCGTTTGAATTAAACCAAAATTGACATTTATTTTTTTATTTAAGATATGATCGGTTCTTTAAGAAGGTAAGCGCAACAAAAAATATATATTATATATATAAACAAAATATATGGACCCTAAGCAAAGGTAAACATTTATAAGGGATGAAAAGTCGATGTATAGCATTTGTTTTCCACATATTATGTAACTTTAAATAATATTTTAAAACCAATAAAAATTGGCTTGGGTGATAAGAGCTTTCATCACTGAAACAAGTGATTGAGAGGATCGAATATCAATCATTATGTATATAGTAACTTAATTGAGAAAGTTCTACCTTTTGTCCATTTGTATATTGGGAAAGATAATATAAATGGTCTGCTGAGCTTACTCTTTGTGTTTATGAAAAAAAAAATATTTTTAAAATATTTTAGATAATAAAAAAAATGCTTATAGAAAGTACAATATAAAACGTATACTAAGTCGTACTATTCCATAAATAAGGGTAACTTATTTCACAAATTCCATGTCTAATTAGTTATATTCTTATTTAATTAATAAGATTATATTTGTTCACAAGTATGTCTATTTATATAGACACATAAATTCACGATTTGTGTAATTAGAGATATTCTGAGTTTATCATAATTAGCAACTGTTATATTGATTTTGTTTATCACACCACTTTAATTTCTTTTCTAAGCTGGTGATTTATGCTATTCTAATTAATTTTATTCTTTTGTTCAATTTCCACATTAAGAAAATAAAGATAGACATTTTTCTTTCGGAAAATTGTAATTAACATTTATTCTTATGATTAGATTTTTCTTGTCAACAAATTAATGGAATTATAAACAAACACACAGACTAAAAGATGCTATGAACATATTTATTTCAGGAAAACGTAAGAATTAATTTCATCTTTTGCTTGGATTATTTATAAGCCATACATCTTTCTGTTATTGAGAGCCTTTGGCATTTGAACTTATCTTTGCTCCTCGGTCCTCTGACCCTTCCCTTCACCGCGGCTCCACTGATACCCAAGGAGAAAGATTTGAACCGTCCATGGTCCGAATTTAATGTTTTTTATTTTTATTTTTTTTTATATTTATAAATTTTTTAATAAATATGATTATCAATCGAGACAATTTAGATTTGTATTATCAAAATAAAAAAATTATAAAAATTAATATTAAATCTACACATTCAAAATATATTTGGATGATCAATTTATAAAAATTATAAAAAAATTAATACTAAATTGGACTATTTAGATCAAATCAATATTGTTCAAATTGCTGACAAGCAATTTATTAAAAAAATTTATTAATTTTTATTTTGGCAATACCAATCTAGATTGTATTAGTGATCAGATTTATTAAAATATTTTATAATTTTTACAAATATTTTATTTTAATAAATATAAAATAAAATATTAAATCTAGACAGAAGGAAAGGTTAGAGGAGAAACGTTATGTCCTTGTGACTTAACCTATAAGCTCAATAAATTCTATATGTTTGACATATCAAAAGAGGAAAAAAAAAATACATGACTACTTTATTAGCCCCCAAAGAGGGCCTACCATTGAAATTGCACTATGCATAAGGGATTAGACAAATTTTTTTCATGTATTGCACAAAATTTATTAAACAAGTTGATGAAGTGTTCGTGACTTAGTATAGACTTAATATTTTATTTTGATTTGATTTGATTATCACCAAATTGCAGAGTTAATTTCTGCTTTATTTGATTAACTTGTTTTTTCAACTTATGCTACTGATCCATTCGATTTTATTTATAAAACTTAGAAAGAAAAGAATTTTTTAATCTTATTTATAAGACATGTCATAACTCAATATCATTCATGAATTTATTTTTTACCAATGTTAAATATGGTGAGAAAATTATTAACAAACGTATATTTAATAAAGTAAAACTAAAAAAATCAATTTTTAGAAAATTAATGAGTTTTAAAAAAATCAGTTCGGTGAAATGTTTTTAAAGTAATTTATAAATAACAATCAGTAATTTTGGTAATAAAATGATTTTTTTTCCGCCTATTGATTTAAGTGAAAACCATCTATTGTCATTTAGCAATAAAAAAAATAAAAATTAACCCCTGATGCATGGATTCGATGAAAAGAAACTCAATGCCTTTATTTTTAAAAAATAAGAAAAAGAAAAAGAAATTATCAAATGGTTCTCGCTTAGAAAAGGTGACAAGATTATTACGATTAATAATAAAATTAGGTATTTAATTTTTTTTTGGTTATAATATAGTATATATAATTAGAAACTCAAAATGAACAAAATTTCCCTGCAAATGAAAAATTATTACAACTAGTAATTAATGTTAACGTGATTTTTTACCTGTTGTTACAAAGCAAGCATCATGGTATCATTAAAGTACATTAAATTCAACGATATTCAGGATTCATTAATAGTAATGATATGGACAAATAATAACAACACGTTTTGGTTTGTGTGTTCGTCTATTCCTATCATTTTCGTCGAAAACAAGCGCATGATTATTGCTTCATAGTTAAAGTTATAATTTTTGTCTTTAATAAAATATACTCTCTCCGTCTTAAATTATAAAATACTTTTAATAAAATCTTACGTATTAATAAATCTTATTAAAGTTAACAATATTTTTATAAGATACTCTTAGACAAAATTTCATATACTAATAAACATCATAATATATTAACAACTTTATCTCTTTTAAAACAAAAATATAATTTTTAAAAACCTATCATTTAATGCATTGAAAAAATGTAGAAAGAGAAAAGGTACTATTGTAATTAGTGCATTTAATAAACCTTAATCTATCCAAATATCTTATATTTTGGAACGAAAAAACTCCTTTAAAAAATACCTATAATTTAACGAAGGGAATATTGTGAAATTAAAACTAGAAAGTCATATGAAAAATTGACAAATTCCATCTTTCACTTATTTCATTTTCTATTCATTCAATAATTCTGACAGCGGCTACAAGGTCGATGATAAATTTTGAGTACAAATTTACTCTACAAATGTCTTGAACGCAAGACATCAACATTATCAAGGTAATTAATGTTATTTAATTTATATTTATTTTTTTATAAATCATACATAATTATTTGATAGGTAATTTTCAAGAGATTAGTCATATTTTATATATTATATAGAATATATACATTTAAAAACACATAACTTGATGTTCAACCAGCTTTGTGAAGTCCTCACTGAATTCGTCTACAGTCTACAGTCTACTTGCCTTAGTTATTCTAAAAAACATTTGGTAAATTAAAGACAATTCATACATGAAAGTGTTGAATTGCAATTTGACCTTTAAATATAGATAAAAATTTGTTGGAATTTTTTAAATTTATTTTTATATAATATTTTCCTTTTAACTTTTAAAATATATAATATCACACATATCTTACTGCTAATAAATTGTTTTTGGTCAAAGCTCATTTTTATTAGTGATAGGGACAATATTACATTATTTTCA